AAAATTTTTTTTTTTTTTTTTTGGCATCGGCTGGTTATGGAGTTGGCCAGCCCTGTTGGAGAAGGCGCCTCCGGCAGCTCCTCTCCTGATGTTGATACTGCAAACACACACAATTGACACACACAGAGCAGTCTTTTTTTATTGTCTCTAATCCAGCTCTAAATGCAGAGCATTTGACTCTCAGCTGTGTTGGGCCTCGTCATGTGGGTGAGCCTGCAGTGGGAGCCGGTGAATGCCGAAAGGTGGATAATCTGCCTGGATTTTGGGACAGCCTCTTTCGGCCCAATAAGCCGGTTGGAAAAGGTAGCCTTTTGGGCTACCAGTCCCACAGTGCTGCTGACTGAGGGATTCTCGGAGCAGTCGTCCCGAGATTTAACTCTTCCGAGTTAATTTTTTATTCACAGGCTGTCCCATGCAGATCTGGGGAAGCAAATTGTGTGATGGCCTCGGGGTCTGTTTGGGGCCGGTCTGATCTTTTCAAGGTTTTCCTGGCTGCTCCACGGCTGCTGGTTTGGGCCCCCCGAGGGTAGCATTGTTGCAGGCACGCAAGGAACCCGCAGAGCAGGAACACGCCTCCCCCCATTCTTGCTCTTTTGGAGGCTGAGGTTCTGTGGCTGCTCCTGCTACCACTGCTCCCTCATAAATGGTCTGAGGGGGTCTCGCCGGTGTGCCTTTATGGGCCTGTTCGGTGCTCCTAGTCTTACACCCCTAATCGCCGAAACCTCTGGGCCTCTTGTTCCGCTGTTGTGGCTGCGGGCCAGTTCCTTTTCGTTGCCCACAGGAGCCAGGGGGCAACAAAAGGGGGGGAGGGCGGTGGCTCTCGTAGGGAAGCTAAATGGAGACCTAGTGACAGTTATGCGCCTCTGCACCTTCAGCTGGAGAAGATTACCGTTAAAAATCATTCTTTCCCATCCTTAGGTCTGAAAAGGCACCTCTTGTCTCGGTTTTGTCCCACAATTGGAAAATGGCCGGTCATGTCAGCCATTCAATTCCTTTCCTGGCTTTTGGGGAGGGAGGGGGGCGGCTTGGGATTAGTAAGGACATGTCACAGAACTAGAAACATTTCTGTCCACGGAAATTGTGGACTTAATACACGTTTCAATGTCCTGTAAAGCTTTTGAGGGCTAGGTAACCGGGAAGCAACCCTACGGTATTTTCGTCCTCGGCTTGGTCTGTTGCTTTTGAAAAACCACTTCATTCGACCCAAATGCCTTGCCTTTGCACTCTTTCCTTCCCACCTCCCTGTGCAATTATAGCTGTGCTTTGGTTCCACCCCTGACCCCAAACCGTACGCCTTCCCCCTCCCGGACCCGCAGAGCAAGGGGTGCTTTGAGTTGTGCCACGTTGGCCTTTTCTTAAGACCAAAAACGTGGTGCTTACTTCCATTCCTTTTGCTCCTTCCCGCTTGTGCAGATTTGGAAGAAACCAGGAACCGAGAAAGAGGAGCCAAGTCCAGGATATAAGCGGGAGAGGCCAGTGGAGCCGGCCAGGAGGGGGTGCTGAACCCCGTTGCCCCTCTTCTGGATGCAGCTCTTCTTGCTGGCCTCGGTCACCTGGCAGGGCAGGGAAGCGCCTGCCCGTCTTCTCCTGGATGTGGCTTTGTGCCTTTCGGCCTTGGGCTGTTGCATCCCCTGCATAGTCACAGCCACAAACGCACACAAATGAACACTTCATTGCAATCAGAGAAAGAGGAAGAAGACATTTCTTGAGTTTTGCTTTTGGTTTGCTTTATTTAGAAACATGTCTGTGTTCTTTCTCCGAGTTCCACAAAGTTCCTTCAGGATGTTTTGCAACCGAAGAAGCAGGCTGGGATTTTCCCGGAGCGCTTGGCTCCTTCCCGGGCGCCCTCCTTTTCCGCCTCTCTTCCTGTCATGGCTTGTGAGCCTTTGAGTGCAGAGGCCGGCCAACGGGAGGTCCCCCGGCGCCCTCTCACTCAGCCACAGGAAGAGCTCAGCCCAGCCCAGCCATTTCTCCACCAAGACTTTCCTCTGTGCCCTGAGAAACCCTTCTCTCCCTCCACCACCCCTTCTGTGCCACCCAGAAGGTTCCGGCCCTCTTTGGCTCGGCCTCTCTTTTCCCGCTCGGAGCTCTCCCTGGCAGCGGCGCCCGTCTTGCCCTGGACTCTGGCTCACGGTGGGCTTTTTTAACGCACTAAAAGGGGTACAAGTGGTGACGTCAATGGAAACGCTCCCTGCTCTCTCGCCGTCGGCTGGGGAGCCTGGCCTGCCTTCTGCCCGCAGTTTTTAGGGTGGCCCCAAGATTAGGGTGTTTTTTTTTCTTTTACAGACCCAGGCACCGTCCGGAAAGTTGGCCATTCCAGGCTCTTTTCAAGAGGGGAGGCCTTCTTTGCCGAGGAAGGAAACTTTGATTAAAACCATAAATTAATTTTGGTAGTATTGGAAAAAGGCACACACCCCCCCTGAGCATCCTTGATTTAAAAAAACACATGCGTGCACACACACCAGGCGCCCATTTATGAGCCCCACACAGAGCAAGGTATGGATGCCTGGCTTGGGGCGAGGTAGCCTCATCCTGCACTATTTGTGTTCTATTCCAGAGGTATTCCTCTCCTAGGTGTGTGTTCATGCACAAACGCAGGCACAAACTTAGACAGCTGAACTCTGTGTTTAACATGCTCATTTCTTGCCTGCCCTCTCCACCCTGCAGCTCACGCCATCCTCCTCTTCCTCGCGCTTTGGGCGTCTGAGCAACGTGGATCTCAGCGATGACCAAGAACCAGTAAGGGAGGGATCTGGGGGGGTTGGGCAAGAGGGAGGTGGGCTTTCAGGCAGAAGGAAGGCTTTCAGCCCCCTGCCAAGCAGAAGCAGGATGGGAGCGATCTGATGACCACTGTGTGTCTCCTCGCAGGAAATGGAGGAGCCCCGGCCCCTCCCCAACGAGATCCCCCACAGTGAGAAACTGCTCTCTCTCAAATACGAGGTAAGCCCACCCAGCTTCATGCTCTTCCTGGGATGAGGTTGGGGTGGGGATTTAGGGGGGAAACTGTACATTATGGAGAGCCCTTCCTTAGAAGGTTGGATTCCTTAACCGTTGAAAGCATCGCATTCCAGCAGAACCTTTTGCAGCCCGTATTTTGCAAATCCGCTTGATTTGGCTTGTGATTGGTCTTCGGGATGTAAGTGAGAATCCCCTTTACGAGTCTTGATAGCTGAGGCACTGAAGGCCTGCCGGAATCACGTCTCTGAAAGACAGAACGTGATTTCAGGTAGAACGACAGGTTGTGAATCAGGCATAGTTTGGCCCTGGAAAGTCTCTCCAGCTCCTTGTGAGGCAACGTTCACTTTTCCAAGCGCTCTCCTCCCCCCCCCCCCCCCCCCCCCCCCGCGGCCTCTTTCAGTAAAGGTCTTCCCTTTCTCTTCCCGGCTGCAGAGCTTAGATTATGACAACTGTGAGAATCAGCTGTTCCTGGAGGAAGAGAAACGCATCAACCACACGGTGAGTCTCCCCCCCCCAGCTCTGGTGTCTGTGTGGTATGAGGGTGTGCTGCCATCTCTTCTCTCTGGATCTATGCATGCAAAGGTTCAAAGGTGCCCTTGAAACAAACAATCGTTCTGGGTTCCCACGGCCTTTATAATACGTTTCGTTAATGCCATGTCACACATTTTGGGAGCCACCCCTTTTCCACCCCTATGGCCGAGCAGGAGTTGCTTCTCCAGGACTAGTTTCAAGCCTATGTCTGGCAGTCATGAGGGCTAGAAAGTCCTCTTGTTTAAAAGCAAAAGAAGAGAACGATGATGATGATGATGATGATGATGATGTGTCCTGAGATTCTTTCTCAAGGTCGATCTGTTCCCACCTCACGGGACAGACCCACAGGCCTCCGGCCCGCCCACCCCTGAGGCTTCGGTTGTGGCTTTTCTAACACAGGCTTTCCGTACGGTGGAGATTCGGCGCTGGGTCATCTGTGCCATGATCGGGATCCTGACTGGCCTTGTCGCCTGCTTCATTGACATTGTGGTGGAATACTTGGCTGGCCTTAAGTACGAATTGGTCAAGGGCAGTATCCTTTGAGCCTAGCCGAGCTCCGTCCTGCTCGGGGGGGGGCAAAGGGGGTCCTGATCGACACCATTGAGGTGTTATTTTTTTCTTTCCATGTTTTGCTTACTCGAGAGCCACAAACACAAATCTTTAGTTTTAAACGGAGACTGCTTGAGAATCCAGCAGGGTCAGCTTGGTTTGTTACGGATGGAGCTGGTGACAAAAAGGTTTGATGTGGGTGCAGGTCGGCCGGCGGGTCGTTACTCACTTCCTTCATACCTGATTCCGTTCCCATCCTCTCCTTCTCTCCGCCATTCCCCACCCCGAATCTTCTGAGTTTTATTTCCAGACCTCGAGGTTCTTTCAGGCGTGCTGATATTTCCCCTCTTGCGTGTCAAATTATGGAAACGTTGAGTTGGACTACAGTTCCCAGAATCCCCCAACTGGCCCATCTGCCGGCCAGGATGCTTGAAAGAATCTGGGTGTGTTCGTTCAAAGAAAGCCACTTTCCCAAGCTGTCTGCATGTATGAATTGTGCCACACTGGTTATTTGAAGTCTGTGTGGGTGCAGACTTAGTTGAGGATATCTGCTATTGCAGCAAGCGGCGGGGGAGGGGGAGACTTCTACCCCTGCCCAAGAGGGACACCCCACCCCCCGCACGGCTCCCCCTTCTCAAAATCTCTGGCTGGATTATTATTATTTTTTAAACTGCCTTCCTCCAGACATTGACGGATTCACTGAGACGGGACGCTTGTCTTTCTCGCTGCTTCTCTGGGCCACCCTAAATGCAAGCTTTGTGATGGTCGGTTCCGTGATGGTAGCTTTTATCGAGGTAAGGCCCCCATCCTGATTCCTGTTCAGAGGGACGACATTTCCTCCGCTGTGGGGAGGGGGTGAGGCTGCCCACCAACCCTTGGGCCCTGGGTGGAATGACAGAGAAGGCTAAGAAAGAGCCAGTCGGGATCTCTCTGTTGGGAACAACCAACAGGCAAAAAAGTCTCTCTTTCTCTTCTCTTCTCTCTCTCTCTCTCTCTCTCTCGGTAGCCCGTGGCGGCCGGCAGTGGGATCCCTCAGATCAAGTGCTACCTCAACGGAGTCAAGATCCCCCACGTGGTTCGCTTGAAGGTGAGCAGGAGGCAAAGGGGGAGAAGAAAGTTGGGTCTCGGAGAGAGTCCTTAATTTTCCACCCAGTGGTGGATTTGCAGTTTTTCAGAGCATCACCGGCCCTTATCTTCCTTAGCTGGGACCTCCTGCATGAGATCTCCCGTGACGGGCAAATCTGTCAGACTCTGTTCGCCTATCTTGAAAGGGTGGGCAGGGGAGCCTCCCTCCCTCCCTCCAAACCGAGGTTCTGCCAACTGGCCCTGCCCTGCCTGCATGGCGGAATTTGATTTGGGCCAGACGTTAAAACAGAGGTCGGCCTCTGGCAGCCGTGGCCTGCTGGTGCTGGGAAGGAAGGAAGGAAGTTCTCCTGTTCACGCTGGCGGTGCTCTATCCTTGGCCCCCGTGTTTCATACGCCCTTCCCTCCCTTCTCAACCTGATGCTTTAGGGACAAATAAAACACAGCAGAGCAAGCGGGGGAAATCCCGATTTGGGCCAGACGTTAAAACAGAGGTCGGCCTCTGGCAGCCGTGGCCTGCTGGTGCTGGGAAGGAAGGAAGGAAGTTCTCCTGTTCACGCTGGCGGTGCTCTATCCTTGGCCCCCGTGTTTCATACGCCCTTCCCTCCCTTCTCAACCTGATGCTTTAGGGACAAATAAAACACAGCAGAGCAAGCGGGGGAAATCCCCCATGTGCCGAAGGGGCCGAGAAGAACAAAAATGAGTTGAGTTCAAAGATTGTTAGGAACATTAAAACCAGACGTAAGTGGGAAAGTACCTGAATCGATCTTAGCAAGGTGCCTAAAAGGTAAATAAGTGAGGTGCTGAACAAGCCTCTTGCGTTGTTGGGGTCTCACCCCCAAGAAGACTTTTTCCTTGGTCGTTACGTCCCCACCACACACTTTTGATGAAGACTGCAAGGTTACACAGCTTTAAGAAAAGTTACGCAGCTTTGCCCCACCCTTCCCTTGGAATCTCTCTCTCTCTCTCTCTCTCTCTGTGTGTGTGTCTGTGTGTGTGTGTGTGTGTCTGTGTCTGTGTATTTCATTTGTTGGTGTGGAAGCGATTCTGGCGAGATCCCTGAGGGATGTGG